ATAATTGTCCAACAAATATTATATACACTGGCAAAGTTAATTATAGAACAAGTTAGGACATGAGTGTGTATATATGTATATATGTGGGTAATTAGGATCACTACCCTCAAAAAACTAAAAAAAAAAATTAGAATAATACCCATAAAACTAAATAAAATCCTTACTCCCATAATTAATACTCTCAAAACCCCCAAAACTCCAGAGCATTAGAAAACCCCAAATTAGAACCCAACAATCTAGCCAAAACTTCCACCACCATATCTTTGTTTTGCTTCTCCCACTTCCTTTTTCTCTATCTTCTAGTGACATTGTATGTTATTTTTTATACAATTTCATATGATTTTTCAAAAGACCCCTAATTTCAAGGATATTTCCGTAAGTATTTTTTTCCAATTCATTTTGCATTAGGACTTGGCGAGCCTTGGCTATCCCCGTATCTGCCCTTCATGCTGAGTGTAAACTTTCATCAAGCCAAGCATGTTGTATCAGTAATATGTGCATGTGTGTGTGTTTTTCTTATCGTCATTATCAGTATGTATTGAAACCACAAAATTATAGTATTAAGATATTCTATATAAGAAAGTGATCGTCATTTGATTAAATGTACTGATGATGACAACGTTGTATGAAAAATTAAATGTTAACACAATATATAATGTTTTAAAGTATAAAGTAACATAAGTTGTAACCTGATTTATTTGTTTCAAGTAAATTGTTACTCATCAGAGCACATCCATAAATGACGACTAATATTTTTAACTTATTCAGAAGTTCGTTCATGTTATTGTATATCTTCAATATCTTTTTAATCTTCTCTCTGTCTCTTCTTGCTTGTTGTTATTATTATTATTGTTATTAATTCATGGGCATTGGATTGTTGCATGAGGTTTGCTTCAGTGCATATTCCCTTACAAACAGAAACCTTTTCAAATTGGCTTAAAAAATTCTTGTAAACAAGTTCAAACTTAACCATAACAAACACGAGAAAATCACATAAGGAATCATTTTTCATTCATATGGTATCACGACATGATACTCTCCAATAAAAAAAATAAAATAAAATGTAATAAGATATCAATGACGAGAATATCTCACCAAATCTTGTCCATGTTTATGACTAACAAATTAATTCATGCGTGATAATTCATCACTATTGAAAACAAATACAATAAGCTATCAATGACAAGCATCTCACCCACTCTTGTTCATATTTACTAGGTAATGTAGCGTGAAAGCTAAAAAATAAATATGAATGACACGTTTTCGAAATTCCTTTGATAACAAATGAGTAGTGAAATGATCACCATTTAGTTTTTGTTGATTCATAGGATTACCACAAATTTAGGCATTAAAAAAAGTCTTTGATTTGCTCATTAAAATAAAGTTTTGGACTCGTTGATTTTTAAATATCAAATATGAGAATTTAAGAAATTGAATAATATCTTAAAAAATAATATTCTATCTAAAAAAAAAAAAAAATACCTCCATTGCCATTAAGGCTACAACCTTTATTTATAATAACT